GGCTAGGTAGCTAGCTATGTTATTACATTTTGACTTTCTTGTATGTGTGTCGTCTGCTGCAGCAAATACCAAGCAGCTCCGAAGAGTCAGATGGAGACAACTGAACCCTAAACCCTAAACCCTAAACCCTCAAAAAGGGTATTAAGGGGCCCTTAAAAGAGGGTCCTGGGGGCCCCCGAGGAGGATAGGATGCTGGGGGGCCCCCTTCAGAGAAGAAGGGCTTGGGGGCCCCTCAACAGAGGGGACCAGGGGGCCCCCTGTAGAGGAGCTTGATGGGCATGGGGGCCCCTGTACTAGGTGGGATGGGGGCCCCCTGAAAGGAGGGTTTGGGGGGCCCCTCGAAGGAGGGGTTTGGGGGCCCCTCAGAAGGTTTAGGGGGCCCCATAAACGAGGGACTTGGGGGCCCCTAAACCCTAAACCCTAAACCCTGAGAGAGAGAGTGTCGTGGGGGCCCCCCAAAGGGTCTAAAAAGTAGGGCTTGGGGGCCCCCTAAAGGGAAGGGTTTGGGGGCCCTTGGATGAGGGGTTTGGGGGCCCCCCAGAGGAGGAGTTTGGGGGCCCCATCGCGGTGTCATGGGGGCCCCCAAAAGAACAGCTTGGGGGCCCCCCAATGGGGGCCCCTGAGAAGAGTTATATTTTCTTTTGTTTTTAGGGTTCAGGGTATTTGTAGGGGGCCCCCCTTGGGCGGTGAGGGGGCCCGCATCGACTTCTTCTTGGCTTATGCTACAACTAGTGAAACCCTAAACCCTAAACCCTAAACCCTCGTAGACAGCCAGCAGCTTGCTGGGCTGTAAACCCTCGAGGGATAAAACCCTTGCAGTGCAGCGAAAGCATGCGGGTAGCTAGCTAGCCCCCTAGACCCCGTAGCTAGCTAGCCCTTCAGCTAGCTATCCCCCTAGCTAGCTATCCCCGCTAGCTAGCTAGCCCGTTAGCTAGCTAGCTAGTGGGGTTAGCTAGCTATCTAGCTCCCAGCTAGCTAGCCTCTAAGCTAGCTAGCTCCTACGATTGCCACCCCTCCAGCTAGCTAGCTCCTCAGCTAGCCAGCCGTTCAGCTAGCTACCCCCACAGCTAGCCACCCACACAGCTAGCTAGCTGAGAGTGCTCTCTCCCCTGCAACAGCTGCAGAGCTTTCTCTTTTGCTTCAAATATTTCCCCGCGAGACACCGCACACCAGTGGCCTCACTTTGCTTGACCATCAAAAGATAAAGCGGGGCCCCTACAGACCCATAGTTTCTTCAGGGGGCCCCCGGGGGCCCCCAGACCCCTGGGGAGCTCTAGGCCCCTGGGGGGCCCTAAGACCCTTGGGGGCCCAAAAACCCTGGGGCCCCCTAGGTCCCCGGGGGGTCCTAGGACCCTGGGGGCCCCTCGGCCCCGGGGGGCCCCTAGGACCCTGGGGTCCCTAGGCCCCTGGGGGCCCCTAGGCCCCTGGGGCCCCCTGAGGCCTTATGAGGCCTCAGCGG